TTCACTGAATAGAGTCCGAGTCATCATGTTCATATCAAACTATTACAACTCATTGTTGTAAAATCACAACCTCACAATCAATCACCAATGACTATACTTCCGCTCATATATCTTTTTTTGTTGTATGCTGCTGTGATTTGAGTTCGGTCACTTGTCAATTCATCTCGATAGTGTTTGGCTTTAGTTGGTGATTGAACACCTTGAATATACTGCGTGATATCATTCCACAGTTCAGGCGGTATGTGTGTCTTGTCAAGACTCGAGTTGTACCATTGTGGTTGTTGTGGAGCCACATGCGCAGTCGAAACAATCCGACGAGACGGATTCACTACAAAAAATGTCAGAATCTTGCAATGTCCTGGTTGAGTTGGATCTGCAAGTTCAAATGATTGTTCTTTGTGTTGGTATCGATTGGGATAAACTACACATCGACCATTTGGTAACTCAAGCGATCCTATATACTGATTGCGTCGTGATTCTCGATCAATACCATACACATCTTTCCAATACATATCAAATGCTTTTTGACGATCAAACCGATCAACAGCCTCGCGGTAATCGAGTTTGGGTGTGGTGATATTTTCCACGTCGTAGTAATACAGTCCAATTGCAACAATCGATTCGTTAATTGGACCTTCATTGTGCCAGTTTCCCTCGTCGTATTTAGGTTTGGATGGTGTCAGTTGAATGTTGGTGAGTTTGACAATGACTTGCAGATTACGACCACGCAGTGACACTGGCTTTGCTGATTCATATTTGGATTGGAAATGTTCCGGAAGTGTTGGTACATACACGGGACGAGTGACTCGAGTGTCTGATTCCATATCATCATGATCTGACTGGCTTGATGACTCGTATCCCTGTATGCCATTGCCAATATCAATATACCTGAACATTGGATCCATCGTTCTGAACAGACTTTCAAACATTGAGACAAAACATTTGAATATTTTGGCAATGCATTTGTACATGTCTCGATGCCATATCGGATTCAAATTGTTGATGTATGAGTTGATGGTCACACTGCCATCCTGTTCGACACGGAATTCACTCGAAAGCCATTGGAACTTGTGTGATATAAACTCGGGACTGCTGTCAATGATGGGCATATCTGAAACAAGTCGAGTCGATAACAATATATCGCATGGTACCATTGTGGTGTATTTGAGTCGTATACTCAGTGGTGAAATCATCGTTTGTCCATATACAACACTGTACATTGATGCATCAATCAGATTGTGCACCATTTGACCAGTGTTGTGATTTGATCCATGTTCAATATCCGATACATTTGTCATCAATCGCATGTATACATTGTCAGGTATGCCATTGTCCAGTATATACGTCAGTTCAACAGGTCCTGGGACAATTGTGCCAAATCCATCACTGCCACTACAAACAAGCTGTTTGACAAAAACCCCGAGTTGTTCCAATGCAAGATTAAATGTTGATGGTGATATATTCCGATCGAGTGAGTCAGCCCTCCATTGCTCCACAATATGCTGGTTTGTGATATCGATCCACCACATGGGTTTGCAAAGTATACATTGCAGATACTGGACATACTGCATTTCGACAAGTGTGCGTGCCTTTCCATGTGTATATCCGGCCATTCCAGATTTCATATCAATTTCGGTATTGTCGTCGTATGGCTGAATGCTCGAACTAGCAACGTGAACCAGATACTGGAAACACGTTTCAATGATCCGGCCAGCAACCATTTTGTCTCTGTATTCAGCAGTGTCCGATTGTACAATAACCGTTAGATTTTCAAATATCCCGCCTTGATCCAACTCGGTACGTATTGAACTGTCTGGATGATTGTCGGCAAAATCAACAAGTGTCCTGATTAGTTTTACAATACCATTATAATCACACAAATCCATATTTCTGCGTGAAATAATAGTGTTGAGTTGCTTTATAATTCCATAATCTCGAAACACCTTGATCATCTCGGCCTTGCTTGTAGATTTCTGAATCATGTCGTTGACATTATCAAACAGGCGCAAAGAGCCACTCATACTGACATCACACACTGATATCGTCAATTGCTCAAAAATCAACGATCGTACAAGCGATACAGGAAAGTCACGCATTTTGGATGCAGCTGATCCCGCTATTCTGATTATGCGTGTTTTTAGTGCAGGGTTGTCGCTGTGTTTGGTATACAAGTCGTTCAGTGTTTGAATCAAATCCAGCCTCATCAACTCGGCTGAAATCACTTCACAATCTTTATAGTTGCATAAACTCTGAATAGCAGCAATACTTTGACTAATCACTTCTTGATCGACACTCCTGTATTCATGTCATGTCAATCCAACCATGTCAAATTTACCAATCGTGATGACTGGACACACATTCATGCATAACACCACATACCTGAGCATATTGACCAGTGCTGGAATGATACCACACTTCACTGCTTTTACTGGGTTATCACGATGAATACTCCGATACATGGTTTGAAGATTTTCGATAAACCCAACAGCAACTGAACCACTGGATGATTCCAGTCGTGAAATAAGTCTTGATACCACGATGCCAAACTAATGATATTGTTCAATGTCAAGTATACAATCAACAACACATGCCACTGTCCAAACTGATCCAATATTGTATTGTTGTAAACATACATTTTCATCGTCAATATAACTGCAAACTTTCGAGAACAGGCCAATTGCCAATGTGAGCATTTCTTGATTGGACTCGTGAACAATAATCTCAACCATAGGCTTGATGTCAAATTTACACTCCTCACTCCAGCGTTTATATTTGTACAACTCCGTGCATGATTTCATCGCCTATATGCATATTAATACCAGATGAGTTGAATGTCAATCATTTGATCAATATCAATCATGACTTGCCGCCATTTTGACTTGACAGTTTGGTGATTGCATGAGTTGTGAAAGTTGGTTGCTTAGTCGTTGAAATATTTCGAACCGATCATCACCGTACGTCATACTCAAAAATACTGTAGTAAACTCCATTACTTTGATCTACACAACACATGTTGGTTATTTTAGTCATGAACAATCCATTATTGTTACAATATATGAATACCTGTAAACTGGGTCGATTATACTCCAAATACTTGACTGTGATATCTTCCAGTTCAATACTCTGTAAACAATGCACTACATCCATATAGTCTGTCATTTCAAACCAACACAAAGTCAGCAATGGTTTGAATTCATCAATAATACAATTGCTATTAAACTTACTGTAATTCTGTTTGTCCAACTCCAGTAGCAATACAAGCAGTCTGTCCCATATTTCATCAGCCTTGTATAGTTGAGCATCTGTTGTTAACAGTTTCAAATCTTCCAGGCGTTGAATCAACTCTTTCATGATATCATTCGACTGCATGTTTGATAAAATTAGTAAAGTTGAATTTTGATTTGACAATTTTATTCATGCGAATGTTCAACAATTGCCAAGAATTGTTTATGTTTGGATTGTTGTCAAACACACAAACGAGTTGTTCCATTTTAGTATTGTTTTGATCAGTTTTTTGTAACAAAATTGGATTGTTATCAAACATGCATTTAGAAATACTGTAAATTAATATTCTGAATGTGATCGTTGTAGATTTGGTTCAATAAACAAACTAGTTTACTACAACACATGGTAATGGATTACTAAACATCATCATAAATCAGATGGACTGGACTGGAATGAGATGAGATCAATGACAATCGCATTACAAACAGTGTGTTGTGATTAAACCATCGAGTATTTCCAAATACAAACTTGAATGAAAAGTCTTGCCACAATACTGATCAACTGTATTACTGTTTACACTGGTATTATTGATGTATTGGAGTATTTGGTGTTCAGATACACCATGATAATGGTAGTACAACTCATGGCAGTTGTACAAACCAAATGTGACTAAAGCCAATAATAATGTCAGACAAGATTGGATAATGAATTAGCGTGTAAATTTCAGATACAATCGTGATCTAGTTCAACAACAATCATGACATCAGTAATGCAACTGCTGTTTGCATGTCAATCACTCAATGTTTGCTTGTAACATTTGGTTGATAATCGACAGTTACAGACTAAACATGCCCAAAATATGTCCGACTACTGGAACTGTGATGCAATGTGGCCATTCGTTCAGTTTTATACACAAATCAACACAATGCAGAAATACCAGTCGATTGTGTCAGTGACTCAGTCAACGGTTCAATTGACACAATGCCGTCCATTAAATTGGGTACAAACTGTCATCAATCATGTCATGACAATAACGGTTTATTATACACGGTCAACTTGTTAACGTTCTGTTTACATGATCAGACTGTAAACCTGTCGTATTTGTTTTTGTAGATTTACTCGAGATCGTTAGTAATTGGATTTTAACATTCAATTCGTGCTGTTTTTGTATATTTTTGTATATTGCTGGACATTCAAATCAACATCTTGTTCCAAAATAGACATGTGTTTGATGTCAGGTTTGTATAATCGAAACAGGCATCCAGTTTGCCAAGTAAACGTTGCGAGACTCTTGATTGCAGTCATGTCAGTATATACGCCAGTATACACATCTGGACATTATCAGATTCCTATAGTTGTGATCACAAACTGGATATACGTATACATCATACAAACATCAAATACATATTGATATATGGTGCATGGTGCAGATGTTGATGTTGGTAATCGACAGATACCATACAAGACATCTGGAATGGCTATACCAAGTATTGGGTTGAGCAGACATCTGCTAGCTGAAAACTCCAAACTTGTTCAGATACTGACATATTGTGTAGTATACAGACTACCATCACAAACATACCACTGCACTCATACACATTTGACACCACAACCACAATCGATTGTCGAGTTTTTGACAATCAGTCGTGTACAGTATCGAGTCGGATGTTGACACTATTGATGCCACATGAAATGCAGTGACCGAGTTACAAACACTTGATTGCGATTGAACTCACCGCTTAATCCAGCAATGTTTTGCAAATCAACATCCATAAACAAACCAACTGTCATGACATCGATATGTCATGATAACTGACAATGCAGCAGAATTCCATCAAAGTGTTGTTGATTGATAGTTTTGTTGGGTTTACCAATCGAGTATTGATCGTAGCCTGACAATCAAATACCGACACTACTGACATGACCATTGAGTCTGTATTGCATTGAGCAGGATTGTAGCACAATGCCATATCACTGGATCAAGTGTGTCAAAGCAGAGCCGTTTGAAGGATTTTACCACTAATATTTGGCCAGCTGTTGTGTGGATCAACCGTTACCTTATACTGACCGTAACCTGAAACTAACTGATCATGTCAATCGATCTTGGCATATTTTTTAGTAAATGGATCAGGGCTACTGGCCCTTGATTATGAATTCCGCTTTATTCAATGGTTGAAGGGTTATATAAAAAACTTGCACATGAATAGTGTGTTATATGTATTTGAACAGCGGCCAAGTTGTCCCTGCATAAGCTCATATAACCCTTATGTTTTGATCATGTATTTAGCCACCATAAAAGTATTTAAATAAAAATATGTTGCATAGTCCATATTCACAACCGACTCGCTCATTACCAAGAATTGTCCTACTAATCAACAAGCTTTATCACATTCATTCTCGTCAACAAGATGAAATTTATATCGATTATTGTGCTGTCGCTATTGTCGATAACAGTCAGTGCGGTAGTTATTGATCGTCCGTCTTCCAGCGAATTAACGGCTGTGATCAGAGAAAAAATGGTAGCAGATTGCCTAGCTCGAGCACAGAAGCGTAGATCTAGATATGCTGGTGATTACTCTTCAACGGGAACAGGACAGCAACCTACTGAAACCAACCATGTCATAACTCAATCGACTGCAAATTCTGATAATTTGGACAACTCTGTCAAACAGTCCAATGGGAAAATGGTAGAAGAATCTCTAGCTCGAATAAAGCAGCGTAAATGTAAATACACTGGCGATTGTTCTTCAACCGGAACAGGACAACAGTCTACTGAAACCAGCCATGATGTAGCTCAATCAACCGTAGATCCTAATGATTTGGACAACTCTGTCAAACAGTCCAAACAGTCTGATGAATCGCCGTCATCCTCTCAGTCCAAACAGTCTGATGATATATTTGATATCACAACATGTAGTGATCCCTATCCTCTTCCCGAAAGCTATGTTTCAAAGAACGAACAGTTTATTCTCACACCTCGGCAAAAACTGGATAGGATCGAAAGAATGATGAAAAAGATAGGTATGGATATTCCAAGTGGAGCTGAAAATACATATCCATACAAGGTGAATGCCGAGGCAAAACAGAGAATACAAGAAGCTATACAAACGGGGCGTAGAATGACTCCATTTGATAGAAGGAATCTAATGAGACTGAAACTAGCAAAAGCATGGATTTGTTACAATTTGGAACTCGAGTCGTTCAAGGAAATGTCGATAAACGCTGTATCTGAGCCTACTCCAAAACCAAATCCAAAACCATCCGAATCTACTTCTAAATCTCATGGTTCAAAACAGAGTTATTTCAAAATCCATCAGTCAAAATCAAATCGTCAAGAAAATCAATCCACTTTATCAGCTTGGAAACTTAAACTCAAAATTAAGAAACCTAAACTACCAAAACTGACAGTGTATAGTAAATCAATGTTTGGAAACTAGACTGTTCAGTAGTTTTGGCGTCATCATCATGGCCGCCATTCAGGAGTTGGTTAGCAAACTTGTAGCACTGCCAGCCTATATCCATGTGGGTGCAGGTTGCTCACATAGAATCATTTCGTATCATCATTCGAGTTTATTTTAAATAAATGCATTTAAAAAACTGTCTGATAATTCAATTTCATTGTATAACTGGGATCACGCTATCAATAAGCTTGTTTAGAATATGCTGTAGTGCAGTGTGTACTGTATAATAATTTATACTTGATTTGCATTTGGTTTGCAAGTATTCAATCTCGTTTGTCCAATAAACACCTTTGATTGTCATTGTCATTATCAATTCAATAGTATGCTCGAATTGATCATATTACACCAATCGGCTACTGTGCACTGAATGTATCAGATGGTGTCATGAAGTATTGGACAATATTCATAATTAAAGTATCAGCAGTTAGTGATTGCATAATCAATTGGATGATACGATCGAATACCGCTGATCATTTTGTTGGTGTTGGTGGCCAATATCACATGTGTACAGTATCAATATGTTGCACAACTGTAATCCAAACAGGTCAACATATGCCACATTGTAGCAATGCAACCAACTTGGTGCACCGCATGCCAACATACATGTACTGTAGTGTAGTGTAGTATACACTAGTAGTGATGATTCGACCAACGACATGCGTGGTTGTAATATTATACGTGAAACCACATGATCATGTCCATGTCCATGTTCATGATTATGGTGACATACAGTGTTACAATGATGGGTCGGCAACAATGTGATGGAACTGAATGTGCAATATCAAAATCATGCTCAGAATACGTCATATAACGACAACTTGCAGCCATATTGACATAAATGGACCACTAAATAACAGTGTCGTGGACTGATTGACAATACAGCGGTATTGTTGTTGGTGATTGACATGCAAACAGCAGTTACATTACTGACATGTACAGCCATTGTTGTTGAACTAGATTGCGATCGTATTCGAGATTCAGAACACAACAAATGTACAGAGTTGTATTGACAACATCGATAGTCAAACACAACATATCGATTGCAATACATGAATCCGAGTCCAAAT